CTCTTCCTTTTTCCTAGTCTGTCTCATTCTGCAAGCTGGGCTGATATCTGTGCACATGTGGACCCCACTGGGTTTGAAACACCAGTGGCACAGCCTCAAGACTCAAAGCAATATGTCACCACAGTAGGACAAACTGACAGACAAGTTTGTCTGCCTTAGCTGTTGGAAACCTCTCCAACCACCCTTACATTGATCCTTGAAGCTGACACTTTGCTCTGCCCCGGTCCCCCTTGCCTTTTCCTCTCCTTTCTCCCACTTTCCCGCCTGGCCTCTATGGGGCGTGGCTTGGGGTTCCCTCTCCTCACCTGGATCCCTGCAGCTGACGCCTCACTCTGTCTTGGTCTCCCTGGCCTTTTACTCTTCTTTCTCCCACTTTCCCATCTTGCTGCTTGTATAGCGTGGCCTGGGTTCCCTCTCCTCACCTGGATCCCTGAGGCTCTCTACTCTATCTCCGTTTCCCTGGCCTTTTCTTCTCCTTTCTCCCACTTTCTTGCCTTGGTACTTTGGGGCGTGGCCTGGGTTCCCTCTCCTCATATATTATTCATCATTAATGGGAAAAGAGTACATGTACAGGGGAGATACCTGGAGGACACCACCTTAACCAAATGATGTAAACACCAACTGGATGCAAAGTACTATGGTCACAGGAGCATTAAGCTCGATTGGCACATTATAGCATTGCTCTCTATATCCTACTTTGGTAAGTAGTGACTGGGGTCTTAAAAGCTTGTGAGCAGGCATCTAAGATGCAACTATTTGTCTCTCCTTTTCTGGAGCAGAGAAGAGTGAAGAAAATCAAAGACTCATGGAAACAAGGGACAAATGGACCATGGAACCTCAGCTTACATGACCATGAAACCATTAAAACTATTAGGTAATAGAAGAAATAAAAATTGAAATAAAAAAATTATTTGAATCAACTTTTTTTTTCTTTTCTTTTCTGAATGCCATCATCATTCATCCATGCTGAAAACCAGTACTCAATCAGTTGCTAAATTCTGTTGACTTTTCTCCTAAAAGGAGTTCTGGTGGTGGAGTGGTAAAGCATTTAGCTGCTAACCAAAATTTTGGTGGTTCCAACCTACCAGTTGCTCTGCAGGAGAAATAAGAGGCAGT